ATATTTAAAATTTTACGATACATGTTTAATTTCATTTTGTAATTTTGTTACATTTTTATGCTAAGAAAATCCTGAGTTGAAAGGAAAGTTTTTATCTCAGTGTTTTTGAAAATTATGAAAATAAAATTGATAATTAATGCCCATACTATTGTAAAGCAAAGTTAAATATAAATATTAACTGATTAAATATTGGTTTAATATTTATAAATGTTTCTATACAGTAAATTAAGGCAATTCAGATAAAATAAAATTTAATGAGAAAAATTAGTTTAAAAATCAATAAGAGTGGTGGAGTACAATTTGATCAATTTAAGTTTCAGTAATTCAATTGCACTTAGCGCTGGGAAACCTTTTCTTTAATAAAGATTAAAAATTAAAAACTGAGAGATTTGATTATCTGCTGGGAAATATGATGAAAAATCTGAGGCCTTTTTTTAAAACTGGCCGCTGTGACATGGTGCAAGCAAATGTATTCTGATCTACTCTCTATATAAAATTATGAAGAACATATAGTAAAAGTATGAAATAAAATTCCACCAACATATTCATTTTTAAATTACACATCTATCAATGTTATGGTATTTATGGTATTGGAGATTACATTATGATCACAATATTTTACCTGTGGGAAAGTTAGAGGAACATTTTGAAGCAAAGATCACCATCTATGGCTAAAACAACTTAAAATGGTGAAAAATGCTTTATTTTACAAAAACTATACATAAAATTAAAGAAATTTTGATACTTTCTGATTATCTGCAACCCCTAACAAAATGTGGCAAAAAAAAGTATTCTTGACGCAAAACAGTATATTGCCGGAACAACTATGTGGCAATCCACATAACACGTCTATTTTCGTCAGTGTTCATGCAATTCTCTGATATTTTTTTAAGCAAAATCACACTGCTATGTGCATGGGAAGAACTAAAAGAGTAAAAATGAAGGATTTGTTGAATGAGGTACATGTTTTATTACTGACGTTCTCACTTTTTAGTTTTATTGACTGACTGCCGCTGTATGAAATTTCTAGCACACCACATTCTGAAAATGGCTGTTACCTTTTACCCATCACCTTGACAAAGAATTAGTCACAAATTAGTTTGTGAATACTTTATAAAGATGGCAATGAATTTGGGATTTTTTGGTAGGATGGTGGATTACCACATTTGGATTTGGATTATTTAATTATGGCAAAGCACCCGAAGGCTATCTGCCTAAGAGGAGGGATGCCTTCGTGGAGGACTTTCTAAGGGAAACTGGCCGTTTGCGGGATTCGAACCTCGGACCGAACTACCAGTGTTCAGCGTCTTTACCGCTCGGCCGCTGGTGGGGGGAGGTGGATTACCACAACTGTCGAAATAAGTATCAATATTCTGTATTTCCAGACATGGAAACTATTTCACAGATAAGATAATTGATTATTTAGCCATGATAAGAGTTATTTGAATAAAAACTGACAGGAATTACAAGACAAATATGATTTCATTTTCAATATGTTTAATAACATTAAATGAAAAAGTATAAAATATCTCAATTATTTTCTGTTTTATTAAACATATTATTCCCTTATTTTGTTTCTTGCTTAATTAGAAAACAGATCTTTAAATGAAAAATTATTTATAAAATGTAAAGAAATTCTGAAACAATCTCCAGAAAGGAAATTATTAGGAAACACAAGTACTCCACACACAGTACAATGATTGGGAAATATTATCATTGTACACACAGTACATATAAAAACTTTCATACATTATTTTTAATTAGAAGTTCTATGTGTAGAACACAGTGTCCATGATGTATAGGGTTAGCAATTTCAATTTTTCATCCAGTTCTACATACATTTCAAAAGCAGTACATTAATATTTTGTATCATAATACTCAGTTTATACAATTAAAAGTCTTTAATCCAGACTCGTCGGGACTTCGGCAATTCCGGATTATAGATCATCAATTTAAATCTGGTAAGATGACATGCAGAAATTATAAAATTAAAAACATGAATCCGTAATTTATGAAATAAAGAGCAATTATGATCTAAAGGGTATCAAAATTTACAAAAAAAGCTTAATATTTATTTGCTTACTTTATTAAACATTTCTTTCAACGCACGCATGTGTAAATACATTACGCGTAGTTGAAATTAAAAAATTGCAACCAGAAAACTATTTGATGTGTATTCATGATATTTATAATGACGAGGAATTTTATTTAAATCATATCAAAGACGGAGTACATCGAGATGAAATACTACATTTAGTAAGGAATTATAAGCCGAATAAAATAAAAACATCTGCTCTGAAGGTAAGGATAGTGCTGACAGATCAACTTCTAATTCATTCCACGCTGCGATGCCCCCCCCTGCCCCGCAGAGCAGCGTGAAATTGATAATCAGATTTCGGAATGGTTAGAGAAATAAAGGATATGCCTTTATCCATTTTTTGCAGCAATTCCACTTTTTATTTGATGGACATCGAAACATGCTTTCGCTTTGTAGATCCTTTTGCAGCTCCAGAATCGGAAATTCTTTTTGACATAATCGAAAGTTCAAGCTTACTTTTATAAAATTGCTCTAACAGTCTGCAAAAAATAATAAGCCGGATCCAACTCGAAGATTAAGGAACAACGCAATCTGCAATATTAACTGAAATAGATAATTATATATTTTAGCTTAGCTTATACAGTCCGTTATACATTAAACGTGCATGCATAAACGTATTATGCACATGTGTAAAGGTATAATTAAACTGACAGTGTTCACAGTGTTCTCTAGTGCGATCGATTTGCAAGAACGACGCCACATTTTGTAGGAAGATTAAACAAGATGGGGGACGAAGGAATCTGCAAAAAAAAAAAAATTAATTCCAAAAGTCACCGCTAGGGGAATATTTGGCGCTGTGTAATAGAAAATAGAGTGTTAACAAATGCAAATCAATACGGAAATTACCTTTTATTTTGCATTCAAATGAGGTTCAATGTGACTGCCGTTGTTGTGGACCACATATTGCATTCTGTGCACAGTATGCACAACAGCAGAAAGTAACATGTCTGCAGGAATCTACAGTCCGTGATATGTTATCCTTCAACGTAGCCAGGCCCTGGACCACTCCTTGATAGACCTTGGAGTTAAGGTAACCCCATGGCCAGAAGTCGCATGGGGTAAGATCAGGCTACCGAGGTGGCCATGCAGTTGGAAAGTAGCGGCTAATGACTCTTTCTGTTGTGAATTTCTGTCGTAGCATCTGTTGCACCCATACAGCAAAGTGTGGAGGGGCTCCATCTTGCATGAAAATGATTTCCTCCAGGCATTGTCTTTGCTGAAGTGCCGGAATGACAAAGCTGTTCAACATGTGGCGATATTTCTCTCCGGTAACAGAACAGGTTTCCGGTCCTATTGGGGTAATGTTCTCATAGAAGAATGGACCTACGATAAATTCTGCTGTGAACCCACACCAAACAGTTACCTTTGGTGAATGCAAGGGAATTGCTGTGACTGCATGTGGTGATTTGTCATCGTAAGTTCAGCAGTTCTAGGTATTCACTGTTCCATTCAGGTAAAAGTGGGCCTCGTCTTCCCATAAGATCATCCATCACGGCTAAGCATCATCCACCTCCATTCTGGCAAGAAAGGTGAGAGCAAAAGTCAATCGCTTATCATGGTCGGGGTACAGTAAATCCTGTACACGGCTGATCTTGTACGGATAGAAGTTGATAATCTTTCGTAAGATTTTCCAAACCATACTGTAAGGCATATCCATAATAAAAGGTAATTTTATTCCGTATTAATTTACATTTGTTAACACTCTATTTTCTGTTACACAGTGCCAAGTATTCCCCTAGCGGCGACTTTTGGGATTAATTTTTTTTCGCGGTATCCTTCGTCTCCCCTCTTATTTAATCTTCCTACAAAATGTGGCATCATTCTCGCAAATAGATTGCGCTACAGAACACTGTGAGCACTGTCAGTTTAATTATGGCCACCCAGTATATGCACATGTGTTTATGCATGCGCAGAAAATTTGTAGCTTTGAGGTCCGGATTATAGATCATTCCGGATTAAAGACTTTTGAAGGCTGAACAACTGACCAATTTTAAGTTTTGCCTAAAATATAGATAACCTATAACAAAAATACTGAAAGTTGATAAAACAAACATATGGAGATATATGCTCATTCTTATCAAGAGTTATGAATCACACACACTATGGAAACTACAGAGCAAAATAAAAGGAGTAGAGAAAAACTAGTATTAAAAAATTAGCACACCATATTTGAATACTCTCCTTCTTGAAAAAAAATGAGGGTTTTCTGTTACTGAAAAAGTTCATGAAAATATATTGGATAAAGTTACAGCATTTTTTTAGGGAATAATTACATAGTTTCAAAAAGAAATTGCATAACTTCTTAAATATATTAATATCTAACCAGTGAACAAAAATCAATGAAAGTTTTTAACTATTTACAACCCACAGCACAGCTTCCATATACAGATAACTGGAATCTATACACAATTTTTCTAAAAAGAGAAATATTAGACAGCTGAATGAAACTTATTTATTTTGTTTTCTTAAATGTTATAATGCTTGCAAAAAATATAAGTTATTTATTTATAGCCATTTATTAAATATTTTAATATCTTAGTAGTTATTGGAGGATAAATTTGTAGCAACAAGTAAACTTAAAGGGTTAGGTTATTTTTACAATAAAGTATTCAAATATAATTTGTTATACACGGCAAAGCTTTATGGAAGCCTGCCAAAGGAAAACAGACTTTTATCCAAATTATACTTGGGATAGCTGTGAAAACCCTTTAGACAACTATTTTTTTATCAAAGTACCAAAACAGACTGAACTAAAGCACTTAGCAATCTTATCCACTTGGTCACTAATGGGCATATAATTTAAGAGATATAAAAAGCATTCAGCATAAACTTTGATAAGAATATAATAAATAGTATAATTTTATTGAAAAATTAATTACAAAAGAAATTACAAAATGCATACCAAACAAATGCCATGCTTTTCTTTTTCCATATTTACAAAGCCAAAGATTATTCGGCCGATCTGATTCATAACCTACAAAAGGCGTCGCAATGGCATCTGCAACTTGTCCTAACAGCATAAGATTACCAGCTATGTAGTTTGTAAATTGCAGAACTGAGTGTTGAAACACGAGAAGATATGTAAACCACATAGATGCACATAGATCATTGAGGACATGGCCAACACTGTAGGCAAGCCGTACTCCCAAAGATAATACATTTTTGACAGATTCTCTATTGGAAATTATATCCACCGTGACACAATCTGCCATTTTTGAATTTTTTTTAGTCAGCTAAAGCCTGAAAAAAAGGAAGCAATATTTCATTAATATAACTGAAATGATGAATAAAAAATTTAATAAAACTTTAATTAGAGTAGATAATACATTTCAAGCTTACTCTTCCATGAAAGGATGATAATGAGAATTAATGATGGCATTAAGCTATGAACTGCATCATTAGTTTAATGCTTTAAGACAAATACAAAAGATTTAATTATTAGAATTTTAATGCAATGAAAAGATCTGACTTGCACAGAAAAAAAGTACATTTCAAGAAACAATTTATGGTACCTGCATATTAATGTGACAATCTTGGCAATTTTTAATACTACAAGTTATTTATCAGGAGCAAGTTGGTGGTTTTTATGCCTCTATTTTAGAGATTCCCAAATTACTGATATATACCATAACTCAGTAAACATTAACACAATGAAAAGAAAAATAATTTAGCAATTTAAATGATTAAATAAAAATTATGGGATACAATAAAAAATAAAACACTTGCATTATTTTTCAAATCTTTCTGTAATTTCTGTTATACTATTCTTCTCCTAAAGTAAATAGCAACCTGTTTCTGCTTAAAAGAACATCACAGAATTGTGCAGACTCGGCTCTGTGCAACCCTTGGTGACAGAGGCTATCTAAGACACATTTCCTCAATGTTTTCTTTAGAAAATTTTCAACAAAATTCTGTGTTCTTGCAAAAGTTTTATTGCAGTTTCTTTCACTGCTGGTAAATTACACAAGCTCATATTTTAAAATTAAAACTAAGTTTAAAGCAAAAAATATAGTGATTTGTTTATAAATATAATAAAATTATTGTAACTTCAAATATATATATATACATATATAGTATATATATTTATAAGCAAAGTTGTAAGTACAATACTAAATATAAAAGAGTACATACAGAAACACACACACATATATATATATATAAAAGAGTACATACAGAAACAATGGCATTGCTTGAATGAATGTTATGGGCATGGTTGCCGGAAGAATGGCAATGTGCATTGCCAAATTTTGGCACATTCTAAAAATTTGAGGACTCCTACTAAGGTAGCTATGTTAATACATAAGTACGAAATTTATAATACTGAAAAGGTTTCCCCCCAACTGATTAAACAAACAGTAAATTAACATCACCAAACAAAGCTATACAGAGTTTCTCTTCTTCCCAAAGAAAGGCTAAATTACTTCTAAATTTATTTTTTCACAAAAGACTTTATTTTAGAAATGTCATAAATCTAACTATAAAAATTACTGTACTTTACCATTATTGGGACCAAATTTAGAGATGTATGCATGTATATTCATATGTACATACATGCCCACATATATTTGTACTTACTATATACGTGAATACATACATATATATTTTTAACCCAATCCTGATAACAGAAAAGTACTAAAATTACTAATGCATTTACAGTACACTTCACTTACAGTTAACGCTTCAGATACTGTTTGTATTATTTTTAGATTTTTAGATTATCGTTTCAGATACTGTATGTTAGATAAGTGCTCAGTGAAGATTATGTGATGTACACAAACACCATTTATTCTACATTGCTACTCTACTATTCTATATTACAATTATGATTAATAATAGACACAGTTACAGTAACATATATAACATCTCTCTTTTTTAACAGAAATAATGATAGCAATAAAATTATACATAGTCTTTTAAATAATGAGGTTTTTTAACAGTCCAACCAGATCGAGTTATGTAGTTATGTCGATTTGAAAAATTTGGTGATACATCACCTCTTTCAGTATTTGGTGAACACTTCTGTTAGCTTTTGAAAAACTTACAGGTACATCTAAATTTGAAGTGCTCTTCCTATTCTCAGGTATCTCGGGTTCATCTATAACTTCATTTTCATGACTTTCATTTTCATAGTTGTTTTGCATTGCAAACTCTTTCTGATTAGTTCCTTTAAGAATTTATATTTGATTTAAACACAATAACACGCCGAACAAATACTAATTCAGAAGTCAAACAACAAAAATCAGCGTTATATTTTCAAATTTTCACAGGACTAGTTTCAATGGTTTTACCGAACCACAATCGTCAGCTGCAAAAGCGCAAATGAACAAGATAGAATATAATGGTCAGATAAGATAAGAAAGCCTGGACAGAAAATAAGCTAGTGGCGCCATCTCTTGATGAAACCAGAACTAAACATGATTTCTTTAAAGGCCGAAGGCAAAGATGGATTGGAATTAGAATCGTTAACTAGAACAGAAAGATTTTTTTTTTGAATGTGAAATGCCTCTAGAAAATCCAGTTCATCAATGGGAGATGTTTTCTGAATAATTTTGGCAGCAGAAAAATTGAAGTGTGATTTTTGGACCAACAATGTTGGGCAACAGAAGACTAATAATAAAGCACGCACAAAACAGCAGAAAAATCCCACACTGAAACGATCTATCTATCTTTGGTTTTCTGCTTCAGGATGTACTGTGGTCTTTCTGCTTCTTCTATAATTTTCCCTCTTTCTCTTTTATGTACACATGATCTCCTCCTACCTTCAGTGCTTTTAATAGTCTTGCATGCCTATCATAATAGCTTTTTTGTAAAGTTTGTCACTTCGGTAAATGTTGTTTATGAAATGTTTATAAGTGCTCAGTGATGATTACGTGATGTACACAAACACTGTTTATTCTACATTGCTACTCTACTATTCTATATTACAGTTATGATTAATAATAATAGATACAGTTACATATATAACAACACTGTTATCGAATTGCCAACTTGCCTATTTGTATACAAATACATAGAAAATGCTTCGCTTATTTGATCAACAATTTGGTTAAGATGGTAAAAATATCAAAGAATAAATTTAATAAAAATGGAATAAGATAACTGGAAATAAATAAAACTGGAAGACAGAGATCCCCAAGTAAGGGTTCAGTATATGCTTTGGTTTTAATTTTAATCAATCAATTAAAATTAAGCAAAAAAGCAACCTTAGTAGATTTTGATAATTTCTATCAATTTTGAGGTTACCTCTTCTTCAGGAGCAAAGAAATTTTTGCAAATCCCCACTCCCCTTTTCCTTTAACCTGGGGGGGGGGGAAAACAAAGCAAAACAAAAAATAAGAATCCATAAAAACATTTACTACTGAACTTTTTTTTTTTGCCTAATTTTTATTTTTATGTTGACATATTCTCTTTGAACATGGGATGCCTACAAAGTATTACGATTAGGGGCAGTGGTCGATTTTCAATCATTATTAACAGGTCATAAATCAACTTTTGCATTAAACCTTTGAGGGGCGGTGGTCGAGCCCTGAAACCACCAATTTTCGAAATTTTTCCCGCTCTTGTTTCCAAACTGAGTGAAAACCGATTGATTACTTATCTTTTACCTCTAAATAACGCAAAATTACTGCAGAACTATTTTTTAGGTCTTAGTATTTTAAATCGGATGTCTTTCAAAATTCATTTTCAGTGAGACAAAATAACTTCCTTTTATTATATTAATAACTTTTAAAATTTAAAATTTTTTTAACACATTTTTTTATCATAAACAATAAAACATAATTATGCATATATACAACCTGTGTAATTAATATTTCTGCATATATAAACAACCTGGTATATTATGGTATTTCCTTTGTGGTTTCAGGGTGCGACCACTGCCCCACTAGAGCATTGCGTTACAATGCTCACATTCCCCTAGAGGCTCGGTGGTCGCGCCCTGAAACCACTGCTCTTTGTAGTAATGTTTGCTGCTTTGAAATAGAAGTGTTTATTTTCACCCAGATATGGATAAGGGGTTTTGAAATCACAGAGTTATTGCATTACCAAACAATACATGCACCTTCCCCCATAAAATATTTTTCGTTCCAGAGATTTTTCTCTGCTTTCAACATGCTTGCTCTCTATGTTAGTACTGTGATTTTCTAAATTATTTTGTGTGGTTCCAAAAAATTGCAAATATATTTTTGATTAATTAAAAATAGAAATCGTGCAAAAATTTAATTAAATTAAAAAATTTTGCCAATATTTTATTTTCTACTGTTGAGATTCAAAATGCCTCGCAAAGGGTTAGAAATAGCTGATGCATTAGCGTTACTTGAAGAATTACCTTCAGATCCAGAATCAGTGGTCTCTGAGGATGAAAGTGAAGGAGAAGGAAATACTCCTTTGCCCCCTTCCCTCCTGCTTAAGGAAATATAGAAGATGAAAGTGATGATCACTCAGAAAATGATGATATAAATTTACAGGTCCTTCCAGAATTGCAGATGTAACATGGAATAAAATGCAGAATGTGGTGAAATCCATTCCAGAATTTTCTGAGGATCATGGCCCAACTGACGACATTACCTCTATGGAAGATGCAAAACACATGGATATATTTATGGCTTTTATCCATCTATTTATCCCAATTTCCTTATTATGTACGTTCTTATGTTTTCACTGCTGCAGAAAAATTACATAAATAATAATTTTTTTTTTCTAATGATATACTTTGTAAAATAAAGTAAAAAATTTATATTTGATGCAATTTTTAAATGCAGTTTTTTTTTTTTTATTCGCAAATTTTGTCATTTATTGGAAATGCGTACGGAAAAAGGTAAGTTGCTTTTTCCCACTCAGTCAGTTTCAAAGTCCTAGACGCGCACTGGTTTCACAGCAAAACCACCACCCACAGATTAATGGGCGGGAGTAGATTTTTTTTAAATTCATATATTATTTGTCTCTAGGATCATAATATTCGATTTCTGTTAGTGTTTTTAGTTAAAAAAATTTTAAAAATAATATAGCGCACGTCAAAGGGTTAAAGACAATGCGAATAGTTTATAAGAGTTGATCTTTACTGTACAGTACCCCTCTTTTTCTGTCTGAAAAAAATCGCCAAATGGTATTGGTTGCTCATGAAATCTAGAAGCCCGCTGCATGAAATAGGTTTTTCGATAACCCTAATGTTGCCGAAACTAGTCTTGGGAAAAAATCGTGTTTTTTTCATTAAGAAGAGGTTATTTCTGCGAATATCGTGAAATGTGTCGTGAAAAATTTAGATTTTAGTTATTTTTTTTAATATTAACCCTTTTGTATGGACCCAGGTTTGGTTTTCAGTTACTGTGTTTGCTTGGACATGTGTGGTACGGTGTTGGATTTTGAACTTGCTATTATTTTGCTGTGGGTATCATCATTTGAGTATGTCTGAGGTGGGTAAGAGGATGAATGTTGATTAACAGCGTATGAGCTGAAGCAACCAAAAATTTAACTTAATTGTTTACGTGGAGGAAATGGTGGTGGGAAGCTTGCACGTATGCATATGAAAAAAAGGTATGTTAAAAAATTGATGTTTCATTTATTTATTCATCTCTGTGTGTTAATTTTTGTTAAAAGAATACAGTCAAAAGTCGTTAATTCGGACACCCATAATCCGGAACGATCTATAATCCGGACCTCAAAGCTAAAATCTTTTTGCGCATGCGCCGCATTGACGCATGCGCATAGGCGTTTTACTCGTGCGCGCAAGACATTTACGACTGCGCATATGCGTCTGCGCAAGTGCAGAATACGTTTTCGCGTGCGCATTTAATATATAACGGACGGTATAAGCTAAAATTAACTAATTATCTATTTCAGTTAATGTTGATGATTGCGTTGTTCTTTAATCTTCGAATTGGATCCGGCTTATTATTTTTTGCCGACTGTAAGAGCAATTTTCTAAAAGTAAGCTTGAACTTTCGATTATGTCAAATAGAATTTCCGATGCTGGAGCTCCCAAAGGATCTAGAAAACAAAAGTATGTTTCGATGTCCATCAAACAAAAAACGAATTGCTACAAAAAATGGATAAAGGCATATTCTTTGTTTATCTAACTGTTCCGAAATCTGTTTATCAATTTCACACTGCTCTGCGCGGGGGGTGGGGGGGACGTGGCGGCGTGCAATTAACTGGAAGTTGATTTGTCAACACTATCCTTATCTTCAGGGCAGATGTTTTTATTTTATTCCGCTTATAATTCCTTACTAAATGTAGTATTTAATTTCGATGTACTCCGTCTTTGATATGATTTAAATAAAATTCCTCGTTATTATAAATATCACGAATACAAATCAAATAGTTTTCTGGTTGCAATTTTCTAATTTCAGCTATGCGTAAGGTATGCTTTATGCATCCGCGCATTGAAAGAAATGTTTAATAAAGTAAACAAATAAATATTAGGCTTCTTTTTTGGTAAATTTTGATACCCTTTAGATCATAATTGCTCATTATTTTATAAATTACGGTTTCATATTTTTAATTTTATAATTTCTGCATGTTATCTTACCAGATTTAAATTGATAATCTGTAATCTGGAATCGCTGAAGTCCTGATGAGTCCAGATTAAAAACTTTTGACTGTATCTCTCTTTTTATTAAACTTACTTTACTCTTTTTCTTCCAGAATTCGAATTTTGGGCTTAATCCAAATATAATTTGCACATTTTCTAAGATTGATTTTTTAAATTGTATTTTTTTAAATAATTTTTATAAAATTTTAGTGTGCGGGATTAAAGACTTTTGACTGTAGTTGTTTAATGTTTTTATGTTAGGAAATATGCATTTTTGGTTATTTGTTCATCTCTGTGTGTTAAGACAGCAGCAAATTTTTTTCTGGTTAACATGATAGTTTTAACTTTGTTTAAGTGAAAATAGATCAATGTGTACATGGACAAAGTTAAGGCAGTGCGCAATGCCTAGTTTGTGCAATTTTCTGATTTTTTTAAAGTTAAAATAGGTTGGTGTGTACATGGACACCAAGTTTGTGTAAGTCTTTGGCTTCTTGTTTTGATTTCGAGTAACAGGCAGTGCTGATCATTCCTGGTGCCGATCTTGGAGTCAAAAAAGAAATGATTCGACAAGGAGTACCTTAGAGTAAATTTTAACCATTTAATAAGTAAACTTTTGCCTTTTCATGACAGTGCTGAGAAAATACCTATTTATATGTTTCTTGTTACATTTATTAATTGTTTAATTCCATTGCTATTTGAAAAGCATTTTTTCCTTATTGTTTGTGGTTATAATTTGGTTCATGTGGTCAAAATAACCATGACCAAATGTTATCACATTAAGTGACACCAACTGTATAACATCTACTTCTGAAATAACAATACTACAAACTATATAATTCAGCACTTGAAAATTTGGTAAAATCCTAGTATATGGTACGGCTTTGGAGCGATTTTGAAAATTGTCGGCAACACCAAAACGATTCATTTACAGCTCTTAAAAACTGCATTTACTGTTCATCATAATGTCGGCAAATCCTGTGTATACTGTATACAAGTATTAAGGGGAAAATTTTAAAAGGCATTTTCTCAAAAGCAGCATATTTTAAATTAGCTCATTTTTCTTTCACAGCAATGATTTAGTCTACAGTGGTTTTATAGCTGCTTTCACACATTATAAGATATGGTTTCTCAACCAGGAGGGATTTTTATAGTTTCGCATAGAATGATAATTGTGTAACTATATTTACAAAGAGAAAAACCCAGCAATGAAAATTTCCATACTAAAGTTCTTATAGCAAGTTCAGTTAACATTTACTAACAAACACAGAAGAAAGAAAAATGAAATCTTAATTTCTTGCTAGACTTAAAAGATAGCATTTTTCTTATGCATTGTTAAGACTCAGATATAAACATCACAAATTAATTTAATTAATAGCAAAGTATGTTACAACTGCCCATCTATATGAAGAACACTTTAACATTACGAATAAACAAGTTAAAAAAAAATTATGGCATTACAAGCAGTAATTCCTGAAGTTAGCAAATTTTTTAATTTCTAATTATTGTCATAAAGCATGACATATTAACATACATTTATATATATAACATATTGCATGTAGAGACAAAAAATAACATATAATTGTTTGGGTAAAGTGCAGAATCGAACACTTATTTGTTTGGTGCTTTTTACAAGAGTAAGAAGAATTGGATTTCTGTCAATTTTGTTTGACTTTTTAAGTGAAACTAGGTCGATGTGCACATGGATACAGTCAAGGGAGTGCGCAATGCCATTTTTGTGCAATTCTGGGATTTTTTTAAAATGAAAATAGATCGATGTGTACATGGATACCAAGTACGTGCAATTCTTAAAAATGCACCAAGCAGTGGGTGATTCTGCACTTTCCCCAATTGTTTTATGTTTATAATACCTTTAAATTTTATACATTTAATTTTGCTACAAATTCAGCAGAAAAATAAGGGTCGAGTAGACTTTAAAGTACCCCTCATATTATGGCGAAGTTGTTGTTTGATTTACAGCCAAGTTGTTTCATTTATGGTAGCCTGAGTAGTTGAATGTTATGGAAACCCTATTGTGATGTAATCGGGTGCATGATTCTGGGAAATTTTGAATCATGGTATGTTTTGTAAGAGTTTTTGTTTTGTGTGTTAAAACCGTTTAGATGGATTGGAATGGGTTTGTAGGAAGAAAGGTTCAGATGGTCACTATGTGAAGCGTTCGATCAGAAAGAGTACCTGGTTTGAAAAAAGTCATTTGAGTATGATTGATATTTTGATTTTTATGTGGCTCTGGGTGTACGAAGCGAACTCGAAAATCATGGTAAGTGCATATTTGCTATTGGTAGTGCTTAAATGTATAACATGTTTTTCCTTTTTTATGTTATTTTATTGTTTGGTTTAAAATGTATTTTATTGAGATTATGTATTTTTTGTTTGCCTATATTGTAGACTTTGGTGCTCCTTTGGCTTTTTAAGTGAAAATATATCGATTTGTACATGGACAAAGTTAAAAGAGTGCGCAATGCCATTTTTGTGCAATTCGGGGATTTTCTTAAGTGAAAATAGGTTGACGTGTACACGGATAAAGTCAAAGGAGTGTGCAATGCCATTTTTGTGCAATTCGGGGTTTTTTTTTTTTTAAGTGAAAATAAGTCAATGTGTACATGGATACCGAGTTTGTGCAATTGTTTGTCTTGTTATTTTGGCTTTCTGTAGCGAAAATCGCTGCTTCGCGAGCCAAAATAACGAGTCAAAGAATTGCACAAAATCGGTATCCATGTACCGCCAAAAATCGTCAAGGGGTACACTAAGCTATACTTTTACCAAAAATAATACAAAAGAAAAAACAGTTAAAGAATATGCTTTTTAAATAGCCCAAATACCTTGTTAAAGCATATGCAAAATACATGAGATGCATTGTTTACACATTTTTATATTTCACATTAAAATAATAAAATTTTCTTCTTCATTACGTTATGCAAAAGAAATCATTTATGCAAAGATTTACCTCCACCCCCGATAGCTTTTAGATTATAAACAGTAAACTTCATATCAAAATTTAAAGTACCTAGTCACAAATTACTTACAGTTTAAAGTAAAAACACATGAAAAACAGCAATAACTAGAAGCTGATAACATACATATGAAAAAAGAACGCGCACAGTATTTACTTTTACCGCATTTACATTGCTTATTTATATTGCTACTGAAAAGTTACACAACATAAAATCTACACAAAATGACAAAGCATGAAGTGACAGTTCATAACAAAGCATAAAATTGAAAAACAACACGAAGACAACTACAATTATACTCACATGAGGGGGGGAATTCAACAGATGATTTCAGAAGCATATTTCTAATATGAACACGTCTCAAAATAAAAGCGTAATATAATTTTAACAGTAACAGCTCTAGGTATAAAGAAACCGGTTTTATGCTATGTTGTTAAGAAAAAAATAATTTTGAATAGTGAACATAAATTTTGACCTACATAGTTGTATTATAACACAACTAATACGCATCATCAGATTTCTCAAAATATTCCACAACTATATTTGCAGCACACGTCCTCTGATACCTGATATTAGCAGACATAGTTTATATCACGAAACATCTGCTATCGGCGAACGACAATGTGACCAGAATTTTGATCAACACAATCACGAGTTTAAACGTCAAGAAAAACAATACATCACGTGCTTAGGAATATGACATCATTTCTCATCATTTGCAAAACCGGAAATCTCTTCAGATCACATGATTTTGAAGCATTCGAGACCAACAAAAACCGGAAGTGTGTGGAGTAATCGAGAACTCCAGCATAATTTTTAATGAATATAGTCATTTCAATGAATTTCTAACTTCAAATTTTCTTTACATATTAGAAATTTAAAATATCCAACCGTGATACAAAAAGCCCCGGGCTCAAATTCGCTGTAACTCTCCGTCCATTCATAGGACGCAAAGGTAGACCACCTATTACCTTAGGTGCCTACCGGAGTCCCGCTCTGGTACCTTTCAGTTTTTTGGATAAATTCTAATTCTAGCTGGAATGCACCGGAGCCCTAAACTAAGAAGGCTCCGGCACTTCTCTTATATAACTGAACAATTATTTTAGTAGAAATTTTACTTTTAGCAATAAAATTGATTAAATTTTAATTTATCTATTTCCATTTTATTTTAATGATTTAATTTTCAATTATTTTAATAAATAATAATAAATTAAATAATTAATTTGATACTCATTAACTATTCAATTTTTATTAATGATTTTAATAGTCATTTTATTTATTTACTGTTCTTCCTCTTTCCTGACTTTCTTCCATAGGGTTTCGGCGCTTCTACGTTTAGAAATTAAGCCCTGCTCCATAATAAAGTGACCACCACTTCTGGCCTCAGTTGTGGCCAAGTTGAAGTCGGCTGAGGGCCTGGCATTGGGGGAAGATTTTTATTATTTGAAATAATTGTACATTTTCATTTTAATTATTCATCCTAATTTTATATTCTTTTCCAATTATATGTGTAACCTATTGGACTGCCATTAGAAAATAGGAACTCCTGATTATTTTTCAGGATTATCTGCCTTATGGGCAGGCATGCCTTCGTGAAAAATTTTTAAGGGTGATATTCACACTGCATATAGGGAATATCACAATACTCCCATGCAGCCAGCCCGTTTGCCGGGATTTGAACCCGGGTCGAACTACCAGTGTTGAGTGACTTGACCGTTCGGCAGCTAGTGAACACATTTATAATGCACTCCACACGTGTTATCATACTCAAAAAAAGAGCAGCCTTGCAAAAATTCTATTACAGAGCTCCCCAGAGGGAACAATAACAAATCAATAATAGGTAAAATAAAAAATGAGCATGACCAGCTCCTTTTCTTAAGCTCCTATGTTACTGAAGCAAAAGAAGCTGAAACTTCAGGTCAACTTGAATATTTCTTTAATGATCGTCTTCAGTCCTTAGCTTGAGCGATCCCGGTCGTCTTCTACTTTGTTTTTGATTAGTAAAATCATCCTCTAACATCTACTTACAAAATAATGCTCTGGCAATGTTTCGGATCTCGCACTAAAATGTTGTCCGTCGTCCATTTTGAATTCGGTTTGCAAGAGTGCATTTTCAGGAAATATTATGGATTTTTTTTAATATTATTCTGAGCCTAACATCGTTTTTATAGTTTAATAGAGAAGATGCTACGTGCAAGAACATATTTTGCATATCGAAAATGAAAAGTTATTCCTAGCACTATATTGCTCGAAATGTTATCAAATTGGACTGGGCTGTGAGAAAAATAAACTTATATTTTTATTTTATCAAAAGCTGAATGTCCTGAGACAAATGTCCAGGCAAAATTGTCCAGCTGAATGTCCAGGCAAAATGCTCATGCAATTCGGGAGTCCACGGTCAAGAAAGCAGATATCAGGGCATTGCAAACCACGGCTCACTAAGGGCTGTTACACCGTAGAGTTTAGTTTTTTTCCAAAAGCAGAACACGTTTCATTTTACTTCTTTGTACGAAGTAAAGAAAGCATTGTAACTGCGAAACATTTTCGGTATCATATTTCAACGAAAATCTCCATTTTGACAGAATCCATTTGAAAGATGTTTTTGCGTAACGTCCGCAGGTACGGACAGAATAAATGACTCTTTACTCCCAAACGAATTGTGAAATGGATTTAAAATTCAGAAGAGATTTTTTTTATGACGCTTGTATAAAATGACCTGTTGTTTGTGTATGTATGACTCGCATAACTCTAAAACAATTAGAGTGAAATTTTAACAGTGAAAAAAACGGTGAAATTTTGTACATGGGACTGCTATATATCTAGTTGTGCGCCTCCTTTTTTCACTGCGATCGGCAATAATAAAAGTGCATACACACACACACACACATATATATATGCACTTTTCTAATTATAATAATATACATATACATTATAATTAATATAGAATAATCTAAAATTCATTGAATTCGAAAACAAGTTTTTCTAATACTTGCGCAATAGCTGCAAAGTAAGATAATAATGATTTATTTACTAAAGAAATATGGTTATATTATCTCCTAATTAATATAAATTTAATAGAACGTATCAAAAAGAGGGAACCCACATGTAGGAAGTTTAATTCCGAAAATTGTGTTTTAGATATATATATATATAATATATTATAATTAGAAAACTTTTTATATACCATTTCCAAGGAACAGAAATTCAATTAAAACCATGAATTATTAAAAATTTTTTAATCGGCATTTTACTCGGTATTTTAAATTAGTAGTTTCTAGACCTCTGTTGCTTTAAAACATAATCTGTAAATAAAAATTCTTAGTCGCAAAAACACCAAAATCAAAAGTAAAAGTTTGAAGTATTGAAAAAGCAGCTATTGTCATTGATCGCAGATTAATTGACTTATCAAGGGGAATAAACCAATATACCATCAATTAACAACAACTAAATTAAATGAGAGTGTTTCATCTTTCTTCCAAGTAAGCATCAAATTATACTTCTGCTGTATCCAAATTATAAGTCACGAATAATACGCAATCAAAATAAAGACATTAGTCCATTTAAGGCAAAAGAATTCTATTAAACAAAATAAATTAGCAAATAATATTTAAAATTAAAGTTGCTCACTAAGAACACAATTAAACGGTATACAAAAATATTTCTACTTATAAATTATTGGTTTATTACTTTGCAGCTTTAGCGCAGGTCATAAGCTTTTTAATTACTTTTATTTAGAGAACAGATATTCGGTAAAGACATAAAGTAAGAAATTAGGACCAATTTTTCACAAAGACCAAAATTTGAAATTTATAAATAATAAATTTCAAATAAATCCAAATTTATTATAATTTATAAATAATAATTTCAAATAAAGCTGTAAATGTAAAAAAGAATTAAAAAAAGTTTAAGACCAAAACACTTTAAACAAGCAATAACCCAATTAAAAAAATCACTAAAATTTAAAGAAAAAAGAACATAATAGAAGAGAAATTCAATCAACTTCAATGCCATTTCGTCAGGAGGAGGAACACTTAAATCAATTGAAAATCTATCTTCCCAAAAATCCTTGCTTTTTTCTATCAGAATTAGCCGATGAACCATTTCAATTTATTTTAATTATAATAGTTCACCCGAAAATTCTGACCCCTCCCCAAGGCAAGAAAAAACAAAGTAAATTCTAATTAATTTTTTTACCTTTAAATTAAGACAACTATTCAAAGAATTGAAAATGTAAGTGAAATAATTCAGATCAAAGTTTTATTTTTAAACAAAGAGAACATTGTCCAAAAAATTGAAAACCTAAGTGAAATTATTAAATTTTTGTGAAAAGACTTAATCAAAACTGAATTGAAATAAAAATTCACATGAAATAATTAAAAACATCGATCACTTTCAGTTAGAACACAACCTAAGCTATGAAAACGATCGTTATTGCAGTGACGTTTAGGTTTGCCAGTTTGGCTTTATTGGCGGAATAAAACACAGTGGTGAGAAAGAAATCCCTCAAAAGGCGAAACACTGAAACAAAAGGTTTTTGAGACCAAAAGAAAAACTTTTCAAAAGCTTCATTAAAATTTTAATTGAAAAAAAGAAATTTTGAAAAAGAAAAAAATGCTTTACTAATTATAATGAAATTCAAGTTAAAGCATGAGTAAAAAATTCTGTTACTCCTGATGAAGAAGGACCCGTTTTGCCCTCGAAATCGATTGGGATTTTACAAAATCTACGTCGAATACAAGGTTATCGATTTGCCTGTTTTATTCTAATGACTAGTTGAATATTCTTCATGACAGTGATCCCTCATTCTTCTCCTAATTTGTTTCCGGCGAAACATTCTCGATATATATAATATCGCTAGTACAGCGAAGGTATTTGGCCAGGATTCTGTTTAGTTTAGACACTACTGGAAAGCTTGAAATTCGATTAATTTTCGAATTTAGGCTTTGTAATCGTCAAATGACTAAGACTTCTCTACCAAAGCTGATGACCCGTTTCTTTCATCATTTATCTAGCTGTTAACTGACAGGATGTGAGCACTCTCACTGCTAATTTTTTATTTGGGGCTAACTACAACACGATCAAGAGCACTTGATCGTAAAGTGTGTTCCTTCAAACAGAATTAGCTCTACATATATACAAGAGCCAGTTTTATTTTGTTTTCCGCATGGGTATTCTATTCCAGAAGTTCTTCAGCTATGATTGGAGGAACCTGGAGACTAGAATTCTAATATTCAGGGAACAGGGAATAATTTTCTAAGTAAAAATTCTATTAATTAATTTCATCATGGGAAATTTGATAAATATACCATAAAAGTGTGTGGCTCAGAAAAAAGTAAAATCTGATCAAAGAGATCCTCGAAAGTTCATGAACCGCTGTTCTGCTCCCCACGTGTTCTCCAAGCATTTTACTAATAACCAGGCTCTCTCTTAGGTCTGATCTTCGACTGAGACTCGATAGAACAACTTCTCAGCGAATGATTTGAGTGTTTCAAATCAGGATAACAGAGTTTTCCAAAATATACTTTTTTAACAGAAACAAAAGAGAAGTGACTTATTCATATCTTGATTTAAATTATGGAATAAGCTTTTCTAAATTGATTTAAGTTGTAATAAAAATAAAACTAGATATATGAGTTATGTTATTATTTGTAACACTTAGCA